AGAAAGGTAGCTGCATGGGCACCCCCGAACCCCACACAACCTCCCCCCTCGCGATTTTAAACCTCCTGATTGTGCCAATCTTTGGACCTACTCTGTAGAGGCAGAGGTGATCATAAAGAGTATTTTCCAGCGCTTTCAACTTTGAACATCTTTAAAGAAGTGGTGGGGGAAACTTAGTAGAACTGAGTGGAGTTCAACCCTTCAGGAGGTCAGCGAACTCAGCCTGGTCCTTGCAGCCCAGGCTCAGTCTGCATATGCGGTTCTGCCACCAGCTAGCTGAGATCAGGGGACTCGGCTCTGCACATGGCAGCACATATTGTATATTATGACAGCAGTGATATAGTCTGGAAGAAGCCCTTCAAACTCATTTTTGTTTCTTTCTCTTTTTTTTCATTCCACTCTGCAAATTCTTTTTTCTTCTTCTTCTTTTTCTTTCTCCAATTCAGTATCTTACTCCACTATAGTATCCCTCATCTCCCTTGCTGTTTCTGCTCTTGTCCTAACTCAGATTTCTTCTATTATTTTTTCTTTTCTTTATGTTCTTTTCTTATGTCATTCTACTTCACTCAAGGGTTATTATTTCTATTTTGTTTGTTGTTTTTTAATTTAACCGTTTCCTGACGATTGTCTGGTCATTCTATGACCACATGAAACCATCTCTAATTCTTTTACTTATCTACTCCTCTTGTCTTAACTCTATCTTAAGCCCCCATTCTAAATGGTAAATATCCTTATTGAAAAGTTTATTCACTGTAAGCGTATTTTGGATTGCTTCTTGATTTTAATTTAATTCACATGGTTTGAAGGTGATAGACTGATGAATACCATAAGTGATCAATTTGCAAATTGTGCTTCATTATATTGTGGTGCTGATTGTATCAATTAGGATAAAGGATTGTGATTGATTCAATGAGCTGTTTTCTTCAGTATTACAAAAATGAGAATGTCTATGAGTCATTAGAGACCCATGGGCTGCAACCCAACTATATCAGGAAGATTTAAGTAATAACCTAAAGGTTAAACTAAGGACAACCCAACAACAATAGTAAAAATGAGAAAACACTTAAGCAAGATACAGGGACAGACTTCCAGTTCACCAATGGCAAACAGTGGGGCAAATGAGGATGAAAAGTCTGACAGTGAATCATCAGGACACCCTGAACTCAAAGCACAGGAAGTAGCAAAACTGATCAATCAGGCTCTAGAGAAATTTAAAACAGAAGTAATTTCCCAAATAATCACAGAGATGACGAGCAAAATGAAAGTTATAATTTGTGACTCTAGAACAGAAACTGAGAGGAAAATAGATGAGCTCAGGACCATGATAGAAGCCATGAATGCCCAGCATAAGAAGGAATTGGAAACAATAAATGCCCAATACAAGAAAGAAATGGAATCCATAGGACAGACTTGAACAGATATCCAGGAGATTAAAAACTCCACTGAGAGTGTTCACAAAAGAATAAAAGAGTCCAAAGATAGAATCTCAGATATAGAAGATAAAATTGCAGTCAGTGACCATGAAAAGAGAGGTCTCTTAAAAACAGTAGGGGATCATGAGAAATTGATACAACTCTTAGACAATGCAAAGAAGAATAACGTAAGATTGATAGGAATTCAAGAAGTAGTAGGAGAAAATGCAAATGACTTAAAAAAGCTATTCACAGAATTAATTATAGAAAACTTCCCAGAGGGGAAGAATTTGACATTCAGATAAGTGAGGCATATAGGACTCCAACTAGCCGTGATTAAAAAAAAAATCTACACCTAGACATATAATAATCAGGATCCCAGAAACCCAACAAAAGAAAAAAATACTACAAGCAGTAAGAGACAAGAAACAAATTACATGCAAAGGAAAGTCCATCAGAATCACAGCAGACTTTTCAATACAAACCCTTAGGTTAAGGAGAACCTGGAATGAGACATTTCAAGTACTAAAAGAAAACAACCTCCAACCTAGACTGATGTATCCTGCAAAACTTTCTTTCAAAATGGATGGGGAAATAAGATATTTCCATGATAAAGAACACCTCAGAAACTTTATGAATACCAAATCAGCACTACAACGAATTTTAAACAATATCCTAGAAAAAGACAATGAAGGTAACAACACAATGAGGCCCACAACAGAGCAAATCAAATAGGCAAGCCAAGAAACTAAAAGGAGAAGGTGGAAAAAACATGACAATAATAAATTAGTACATATCAGTTTTAACCATCAATATCAATGGCCTTAATTCATCAATTAAGAGAAATAGACCGGCAGAATGGATTAAGAAACAAAATCCAATAATATGTTGTATATAAGACACGTCTAGTGCAAAAAGAAGCCCATGGACTGAAAGTGAAAGGACAGAAAACTTCTTTATGTAACAGGAGCCCAGAAAAAAAGCAGGGGTAACAATCTTATTCACAAAGTAAGTTTCAAACCTAAATTGATGGAAAGAGACAAAGAAGTTCACTACATCCTTGTGAAGGGAACAATTCAAGAGGAAGAGATAACAAATTATTTTTAATTTATTGAGTATGTCAGAAAGTACATATGGTTTTTTTCCTCTTTTCTTCTTTTTTTCTTTTTTCTTTTTCTTCTTCTGATGCTGGGGATTAAATTCAGCACATTGTTCTGGCTAGGCAGGTGCAGCACTACTGAGCTAAATCTCAGGTTTTATATTTCATATTTTTAAAATTTATCAACACATTAATCCTTGTCTTTATATGTTGGTCTACCAAATTGATGAGTTATTTTGGTTCTCATTTTCTTTGCTTTTTTACTTGAGAATTTATGAAATCTGTATATATGAGTAGTATGAAAAGTATTAAGGTCCATCTGTCATTTTCTTCTTTCATTTCTGCCTTCTACAAACTTCCTTTTCTGTCACTACAGCTTGTTTGGTTGGAAATTTGTTAAGACAAATGTTGTTATGATATCAATATATTTTTGTACCTATTTTGTACCTATATATGATGAATATTAATTTTTAAGTAAATTTTATTATAACTATACTTAAATCATTAATATCATTTAGTATCTGGTACATATTACAAATTCTCCAACTCCCTCAAAGATATGTTTTTCTCAAATCACACAAATCACCAACACTCCACACATCACTGCACTGTTTTATTATACCAAAGTATATATTGTATTGTAGAAAATATGCATTGTGTATATGTGGGGGGGTATGTTTTTACACATGTGTGTGCACTATTAAATGAGAAACATGGTCATGAATGTGGTAGGATTGTGCACATTTGGCATATTGATAGTTTCTCGGGCAACCTTATGATTTCTCTAAATTACATGCTTAACTTAATTCATAGTCATTTATTTGGGAAGAATGTTACATATGTATTGGTGTTAAATTCTATCGTTATGCTTATAAAAATATAATAAAAATAAGTATGGGATATAATAAAATAGAAACAGAAAATCTGATCTAAAAAATGTGAATTCTTTGCTTTTGGATTTCAAATATAGGTATATTTTTTTCCTGGGGGAAGTTTTTAAAGAAAATATAAGGGGTACGATCAACGAGCATATGATATTTGTCAATTAATAAAACCAAGGAGTTTATAAATCAAAATTTTGAGGAAAGTTTCTCAACTATGTCACTGTTTTATTTGTAATTATTATGTAACTTTGTTTTATTTGTAATTACATTATTTCAAAAATATTATAAGAAAATGAGAAAGAACATGAAGATCATATCAAATTAATAATGTATTTCAATTATTAGTCTGTGTTACATAAATTTTTATTTCATATCCTTTCTTTGCTGTCATATATATGTATATTTGAAATTTTTATTCAGTATATTCATTTCTTGTTATCATGTATGTTTGCAATCTTTAATAAAAAAAGAATACGTGACAACAGTAACAAAACAAAAAAAATTTCAGAGGTGACTTTGGACTTGGACTTTGCAACAATATTGAAACTGTTAGGAGTTTGGCAACTCTTACTGATAGACTAAATGCTTTTTTTCCACAAAGGGACATGCATGAGCCTTTGGGGGGCCAGGGGGCAGAATGTTATGGCTTATAGCTCGATGCCCCCCAAAGCACCTGTGCAGACATAGGTGGAGCTTTCTCTGGAATTGATTCTTGGTGCTAGGTCCAAGGGCACTAGGATGGATGGTGGGAGTGCTACTTGCCCCAAGTGATCTGCATGACACAAAAGGGGCAGAAAGATGGGGTTGAGGGCCCCTCCCTGTCCCCTCGTTGCTTCTGCTACCTTCTGCACACTGGAGTCAGCCAATTATGGACTGAAACCTCTACGTACTGAAACAGTAAGCCAAATAAACTTTTCCCCTTTCAACCTTGGTGTCAGATAATTTGTCTCAGCAACAAGAGCAAAGTAATGAAGACTCTATGGCCCCATTCACATTGCATTCCTGACTTTCAGTCGTGACCTTCACTATTGCCTGACCACTTTCCTTGACTTTAAAGGGTCTGTGCACCAAGGTCTGTCTGGCATCTTCTGAGCTCGCAATGGTTGGATGCTACTCCTTCTTCAAAAAAAGAAACAAATTCAGAGGGGCTGAGTGGCTTGCCCAGCTGCTGTTCTCCTCAAGGGCAGTAGCAGGCCCAGGCTTTGCATTCAGGGTTCCCAGTCCCCTTGCTTTTGGAGCTCCAGCTGCCTCTCCAGGCTGCCTCAGTGTGCGTGTGTCCACAGGTGCCTGGCAACAGCATTAGCAGTTACTCTGAGCCAGCATTACCACCCCAGGCCTGCACTGATGACAGTGTCAGCATGGGTCTGTAAAGAAAGGGATCATTTTAAAAATCAATAAACCATTATTAAATTTGAAAAATTGGCAGTTTCCTGTTGGCATTCATTTCACTTATTATTATACCTTCTTTTGTTTAAGTTCGCTTAAATCAAGATCCAAATAAATCTCACACAGTAGAGTTTGTAAAGCCGTCCCTTTATTTTTCCTTTTTATTTCTTTAAGTGGCAATATAAATACAGGGCTGAGGGTGTAGGTCAATTGTAGAATAGTTGCTTAGCATGCACAAGGCCCTGGAATTGATCCCTGGTGTTGGAAAAACAAATAAACAAAAGAGATCATACAAATATATAGCGATAAATATTGCATGGACATACATGATAGCTCATAACATGTGGTTTAGGTAAGTGCTGGGATCCCGGCTTTCTTGAAGAACCCCCATGTCCTGTGGTGGAGCCCTGAGCTGTCACGGTGCTTTAGTAGTTCTCCCTCCCAACCTGCCCAGCCACCTGTTTTCCAGGAAGATTCTTACCTGGGAAGATGGGGGAGCCCCTGTCCTCTGTTTGTAAGTGTGGCTTCTGCAAAGAACTTCGCATGTCAGGCCTGAAATCTGGTGGGTATCTGGGACTGGCTGGGCAGCATTAGAGTTGAGAGTCATCTCCAAAGCCCTTCTGCTTGCTTGCCTCAGGTCTGGATCACCAATGGCCAACTGCCCAGCATTCTTCTTGTTTGTAAAGACTAAAGATGTGGATTCGGACCACTCAGTAAAGACACAATTCATAGAAATTTGGGAAGAATCACTAGTGGAATTCTCTTCAGAATTAGGCATTTAAGGCTCCCCACAGTGGGTGCAGGTGTGGGTGTGGGTACCAGTTTCCATCCAAAAAGGAGAAGCCGGAGGTGGCTAAAGCTGAGCTGACCACTGTAGTCCTGGAGTAGTCTGCAGTTTTGCAGGTCTGACTTGTGTGTCCCCCTTGCCGTGTCATCCTTGCTGCTAGCAGCTCAGCATGTGCCTGGCCAGTGACCATCCAGGCCTCTCCATTGGGAAATTGGCAACATGGAGTTTGGAACTGTGGCCTGCTCTGCATTAGGGACCAGGGCTGTGTCGGGAATCTTCCCTCATTGCCAAGGCCTTGAGTCAGGAGCTGGGTTCAGCAACCACATTAGGAAGACACAGGCTGGGGGACTTTAGAGAGGCTCAGGTTCTGATAAAGCACAAGCAGGGTCTGGGGCCTCTGGCCTTAGATTGGTTTTTAGTTCTGGAGTGAGGTTTTTTGGGGGATGGGAGATAATTCATATAGTATAAAATTTGCCGTTTAAAAATACACACCAGTGATTTTTAATACATTCACTGTATTGCACACCAGCACTTTAATAATTCCAAAACATTTTTATCACCCTGAAAGAAATGTCAGAACTTCCGGTCCTTCCTCATCCCCACCACAGAAGCTCCTACTTTACTTTGTGTCTGTGTGGATTTGCAGGATAAGCATTTCTATCAGTGGAATCATCATTGAAGCCTCTTATTACTGACTTCCTTTTTTATTTACTTATATATACATTTTGATACAGGGCCTCACTGTGTAGTTCAGGCTGGCCTTGAGCTATGTAGTACAGGCTGACCTCCAACTCACTGCAGTGCTCCTGCCTCACCCTCCCTTGAGCAGGGGTTACAAGCACATTCCACCATGCCCAGTGAGACTAACTCCTTTAACAGTAAAATCATTTCAAGATTCATCTAGAGCTGGGCATGGTGGTGCACCCCTGTAATCCCAGCACTCAGGAAGCTGAGACAGGAAAATTGCTATGACTTCGAGACCAGCCTGGGCTACATAGTGATTTCCAGGTCAGTCTCAACTACACAGTGAGACCGTCTCAAAAATAACTAAAAAAAAAAAAAAAAAAAAAATAAGATTCATCCATGTCAGAGCAACAGTCTGCACCGCATCATCCCTTTCTAAAAACATTTTGACAGTCCTGGGGATTGAACCCAGGGCTACTCTATCACTGAGTTGCATCCCAATCTTTTTTCATTTTCACTTTTGAGACAAGGTCTTGCTCAATTTCCCTGGTGGGACTTGAACTGGTAATCTTTGGGGTTTGCCTCCCTCAATACTGGGATTATCAGCCTACACCACCAAACTTGGCCCCCAGCTCAGTTGACATTTTATTTTGAGATAGAATCCTGCCTTAGCTTAGGCTCCTGCCTCAGCCCCCCACCAAACGAATGGAACTATGGGCATGTGCCATGGCATCCAGGAATGCTGCATTACTTCTTTGGGTGATAGAGTATTTTTAATGAACAAACCACATTTTATGAATTGATGGGTATCTTTTGGGTTGTTCCCTCTTTGGCTCTATTATCAATAGTGCTGCTGTGAAAATTCATGTGCAAGTTTTGTGTGTAGAAAATATGTCTTCAATCTAATTTGATATAAACCTAGAAATAGAATTTCTGGGCCACATGGTAACTGTGTATAACATTTGGAAGAACTGCCAAACTGTTTTGGACAGTGAGTATAATTCTATATTCCCGACAGCGAAGTGCGAGGTTCCCATTTCATTTACCTTCACTGATACTTATTAATCTCCATTTTAAAAGATCATTCCTCATGCAAATGTCTAAGCATGTTCAGCATCTGTTCGTGTACTTATGAGTCATGAATCTTGTATATTTTGTTTAAAGAAATATTTTTTCAAGCCAGTGTGGTGTGCATATCTCTAATCCCAGCACATGGGAGGCTAAGAGAAGTGAACACAAATTCAAGGACAGTTTGGGCTACATAGCAATTTTAAGGTTAGACTGGGCTACATAGTGATTCACTGACTCCAAAAATAAAGAAATAAGGAAAGAAATTTTGAAACTCATTGCCTACTTGAAAATGAGGTGGACAAGTACTTTTCTCCTGGAGAGCTCCCCGCACCTTGGCTATGAAGCAGAGATCAGAGCAATCCTGCCGGGTGTTTGGAGAATCAGATGAGACTCAGATAAGGCTAAGCAGGCGGGTTAATTGGACAAGATTAGCCAAATTTAGCACAAGCAGCTGTGTGTGGATCTAGAATGAAGGGCCAGAGAGGTAGGATTAGAAGAGGGAACAGGCTGTATAGTGACAAGTCTGTGTTTTTGGTGTAGCGCAGATATTCATGAGACACAGTTTTGTTTTCCTTACCTGCGTTTTCAAACTCATGGGTAGAAAGCTAGTCCGACATCTGCTCCCTTAGCAACAGTGAGAACACTCCTTCACCTGCCATTCCAACTCTGCATTTTTAAGAATAAATATTGCCAGCGTGATAGGTGAAAAATGATTGAATATGCAAACAAAAATGGACAGCTACAGTCCTATTTTCTTTTAGTTTGCAAAAATTATCCTAGTGCATGTTTGCAGCATACAGTGACTGCATTCATCATGGGGAGTAGGTACATGTACGTAACACATCGCGATTCTTTCATTCACTTCCCCGCCCCATCCCACCTCGTCCCTCAACCTTTTGGTCCCCCACTCTTTTACAAAGGATCAGTTTCTCTATTTCCTATTATCCATCTTTCATTTTATTCTTCAGTTTATCTGTACTTTGGCTTGCTCGTGTATGAGAAACTATGCCATATTTAAGCTCGTGTGTGTGTAATTTATGTCAATTAATATGGTTTCAAGCTAGATTGATTTTTTTAACAAATGACATCAGTATACCCATTTTTATAACACTATACTCCACTGCACATAAATAACCGCACTTCCTTTACGTATTCATCTGTTGATGGACATACACATCAGATCCATGTTTCAGCTATTCTGAATTGTGCTGCTATAGACAAGAGTGTGCATGTTTCATTGTGATACAACTTTAACTCTTTGGGGAAGATATCTAGAATGGGAGTAGCTGGGTCAAATGGAATTTGTATTTTAAGGCTTTTTTTAAAAAGCTCCATACTGATTTCCATAGTGCTTGTACTCGTTTGCATCCCTGCCAACAATGTACAAGGTTTCTGTTTTTCCCCACTGCCTTACCTGCATTTATTGTTCGATTTCTTGATAATAGCTCTTTTTCTTTTTTGGAGTAAAATGGAATCTCAGTGTTGTTTCAATTTGCATTCCTCTAATGGCCAGAATGGTACGGAAGGAATCAGTAAGTGACACACAGAGGGGCAGCAGAACGGAAGTGAAATAACAAATTCACTCCACCGATGGTGGTCTATCGCACATAAGCCGTGCCTGGATCAATGATGCACTGGGTTACAACTCCTCCTTTTATAGGGTTTTACAGCCTTGACTTCATATGCGAGGTTACACTTCATTCTCATAGTTCAAATCATGGTCACAGGATAGTTAACTTTTCAACCCAGATGTAACAGTTTTTTGCAGTTGGGGAGTTTACCTTTAAGATTCACCTAGTTATTTATTCTAGTCCATAGGAAGGGGGTGTTCAGGGTCAGGGAAGCAAATGTTAGCAATGGGCTCTTTCATCTTGCCACTTTTACAATCGTGTGGCTTCAGTCTCTTCCGGAGCTCAAGGTCTTGCTGTGCTCTTTTATCTCAGTGTCAGACCAAGTGTCTCATTCAGCAATTTGAGCCTTCTGTGCCTGTTAGTTCTGAGCTAAACAAAGAAAACTGCTGTTAAGAGACAGCAGAAGCCATTTTACCTTGTAACACCTTATAGATTTTTGCTACTTATAAAAGTTTTCCCTATCAAGAGAAGCATATTTTTGGCCATTCTTTTTAAAGGTGTTTATTCACTTCATTTGGCTGTTTTGTGACTGAGTCTTTTAATGTGTGGGACTCTAATTTTTTTTTTAGTTACTATATATTCTGGATACTAGTCCTCTGTCAAAAACTCTTCCTATTCTGTAGATTTTCTTTTCACTCTGTTGGTTGTTTCACTCCTTGTGCAGAAGCTTTTACATTTTACATTTACATAATTACATGTTGGTTCCTGATGTTATTTCTTGTACCATCGAAGTTTTATCCAGAATGTCCTTGCCTATGCATTGTCTTCAAGAGTTTTACCTATTTTATTTTCTAGCAGATGGTTTATGCTTTAACATTTAGATCTTAGATCAGTTTTGACTTCTCTGTTAATACATGAAGAGAGGTGTCTGAATTCAATCTTCTGTTATGTATACAGCCAATTTTCCTAGCATTGTTTGTTAAAGAGCCTATGTTAAGTCTAAATTAGGTGTGGTGGCGCATGCCTATAATCCTAGCACTCAGGAGGCTGGGGCAGAAGGATTGCTGTGAGTTCGAGGCCAGCCTAGGCTACACAATGAGTTCTAGGGCAGTCTCAACTACATAGTGAGACCCTGTCTCAAAAAACCAAAAAAAAAAAAAAAAAAAATGAAAGACCCCATGCTAACTCTAGTGTATTTTTTTTACCACTTTTGTCAAAGACCTGATGGCTGAATGTGCATGGGGTTGTTTCTGCATCCTCTACTCCACTCCAGTGATTCACATCTGTTTTGTGCCAGCACCTTGTGTTTTTGTATCCCTGTATAATTTGAAATGCAGGATTGTGATATCTCTTGCTTTGTTCTTGTTGCCCAGAATTGCTCGTGCTATTCTCTGTGTCTTCTGGTTCTGTATGAAGTGGAGGAATGTTTCCTCTAGTTCTTTGAGGGATGCTGTTGGTATTATGATTGGGATTGCATTAAATCCATGTATCAGTTCTGCAAGTCTGGCCATTTTGAAAATATTGGTCCCTTCTATCCAAGAACAGGTAATATCTTTACATTTTCTGATGTCATCATCGACCTTTTTCAGAATACTCTAGTTATTGTAGAAATCTTTTATTTTATGGGTTAGGTTAATTCTTAAGTATTTAATTTATCTTGATGCTATCGTGAATGGTATTTTTTTTCCTAAGACCTCTACTAGTTTGATTTGGTGTACAGGAATGGTATTCATCTGTGTGTGTTGATTTTGAATTGTCCTGCTTGCTGAATTATTAACTGTGGAAGTCTTTTGGTGAAATTTGTTGGATCTTTTATATAAGGGATTATGTCATCTGCAAATAATAATTTGATGTCTTCCTTTCCTACAAGTATCCCTTTTATTTCTTTCTTTTGCTTGATTGCAGTGGCTAATGTTTCAAGTAGTATATCGAACAAGAGTGGTGATAGTGGACATTTTGTGTTATTCCTTTCAGGGAAAGCTTTCAGGGCCAGGAATTTGGCTCAGTGGTTCCGCCACCTGCCTTGCAAGTGCAAAGTCCTGAAATCCATCCCCACGGGGGGGGGGGGGGGGGGATAAAGAAGGAAAGCTTTCAGCTTTTCCCCATTTAATGTTTGTTTTCAAGAATGGGTCTTACCAGATTCAGATAGGGACATTTTATACCTACTTCTTCAGGGTTATCATCATGCATGAATGTTGGACTTTGTCAAAAAGTTTTCTACTTTTATTGAAATGATCATGATTTTTGTTTTTCTTTTTGTAATAGTCATGTGGTATATTACAGTAATTGTTTTGTATATGTTAAAGGATCCTTGCACACCTGTGATGAAGCCCAATCAGTCATGATGTATGGCTTTTTTTTTTTTTTTTTTTGAGACAAGGTCTCACTATATAATTCAGGCTGGCCCCAACCTTGTATCAAATCCTCCTGTCTCAGCCTCCCAAGTGTTGGGATTATAGGCACGCATCAGCACTGTTGGCTAAGATATGGTTTCCTGATGCTCTGTTGCAGTTTGTCTGCCAGTATCTAGATAAGGATTTTTATATCTGTGTTCATTAAAGAGATATATGCCTGTAATTCTCTCTCTCTCTCGTTATTTTGAGACAGGGTCTCACTATGTAGTTGAGACTCACCTGGAACTCACTTTGAGGCCCAGGCTGGTCACAAACTCACAGCAATCCTCCTGTTTCAGCCTCCCAAGTCCTGGGGTTAAAGGCTTGTGCCACCACGACTGGCATTGTAGTTATCTTTTTTAATTGGGTCCCTGTCTGGTTTTGGAGTCAGGGTAATACTAGCTTCCAGAAATCTCTTTGATAATATTCCTTCCACTTCTATTTCATTAAAGATCTTGAGGAATATTGGCATTAGATTTTCTCTAAAGTTTTTGTATAGTTCAGTAGTGAATCCATTGAGTGCTGGGCTTTTCTTAGTTGGTAGGGTTTTTTCTTTTGTTTTGTTTTTTGGTACTGGGGATTGAACTCTGGTCCTTGTGCTTGTGAGGCAGGCAGCAGAACCACTGAGCTAAATCCCCAGCCCTTTTTGGTTTTTTGAGACAGGGTCTATGTAGTTGAGACTCACCTGGAACTCACTGTGTAGCCCAGGCTGGTGTCGAACTCACAGTGATCCTCCTGCCTCAGCCTCCGAAGTGCTGAGATTACAGGCGTGCTTCAACATGTCAGGCTATTGTTTTTAACTGTTGAAGACATAAAATATACACTTACATGTAAATAATTTCATAGCATTATGCAGAGTTTAGTGCATACTTTAATATTGTTCAGGGTTTTTTTTTCTCGAGTTTATTGGTACATTTTAGGTCTACAGTACAGTTACATTCATTGTTGGGATCTTGCACCTTTACATGACAGGTCTTGGTTCTCATTTTTTCCCCTTGTCCCTGCCCTCCCTTCACTCCCTCCTCTCCTCCCCAAATATTGTTCAGTTTTAATTTGGTGATTATTTTGGTATTTGGTCCACTTAAAAGCTTTTCAAGACCAATAACTTCTCATAGTATGAAAGGATCCTGAGACCAAAATTTGAGAGCCGCTGAACGACAGAAAAGATAAGCAGGGACTTTGCCCAAGTGGTGAGATGTTTTTCTCCTCAGCCACTGGGGTTGAACCCCTGGCTTTCGCACTGAGCTAATCCCCAGCCCTTCCACTTTGAAACAGGATCTCGCTAAGTCACTATGCGGCCCAGCTGGGCTCCAACGTGCGATCCAGTCTCCGTCCCCGATAAAACTTTTACAAAGGACAAACCGACGGCGACCTGAAGGCCTCTGAGGGCGACCCCTGCGGTCCATTGTGACGTCGCCACCTTTCGAGTCCCTGCCCGCGGCCGGGGTCTGGGCCCAAACCTGCGG